AACAATTCGATTGCTTTATTTTATTGAAGAAAGCGATCATAATGTTTAAGCGTGGTTTCTTTTCTGTTTTCTGTTTTACTTTAAAAGTTTAAAGCAAAGGACTTTATTATAAATAAAATTGTGGACGTTTTTTTTCTTAACTTTATTATTTTTCATACAGTGAAATAATGTTTGTTAGCTTACTAAAAACAATTTTGAAAGTTTTTTTTAATTGTGCGTTTATCATTAATTTGCAAATGTGTAAAAAAAAGTTTTTGAAAAATAGCAATTGAATTAATTTACTAAGCTTCTTTGATATATTTGATAACTTTTTAACTAAAATAAAAATTATTTGAAATTTGTTTGACATAAATCTCTTAAATAAAACGTTCGTCAATAATTAAAGATACGCAAGTCAACGTTTATTAAAAAACAATACGTCACGCCCTGGGATAAAAAATAGTTGGCAAATGCGACTGTTTCAAAATTTTTTTTATAGTAAATAATTTTTCTATTTTTTAGTCAATAGTTTCTTTTTAAGAAATTATATTTCCATGATAAAACGGTTTGTAATTATTTTTTGATAGCTTCTGCGCTCATTTTGCCTTAAACTCTAATCTGAATTTTTATTCAACAATTGCTTTTACTAAGTTTCATTAAAGTACTCGTGGCAATTTAATTGTAATTATGGAATCAATTAAAAATCGCATTTACGTTAGATTTGTTTTTTGTTTTTTTTTTGCGCACTTTTTAAATGCGTTAATTATCAAAACTTGCAAAGAGCCATGATATGATTTTGATAATTAGCGCATTTAAAAATATTGATGATTTTACACTGAATTGGTCCATCCTTAAAACAGTGCCTGCATATAACAATATTTCCAAAAAATGCATACTATGTCTACAAGAAAAACTTGAAAGAATTACACATACAAACCAAGAAAGTTTATTAAACAAAAAATCGGAGTTGATTTCTAAATGCAGGCACGAAAATAAGCTTCGCCTAAAAAACTATAAAAATAAGTGAGCTCAAATAATATTTACATTAACTCCCCTTTGAAAAAAATAAAAATTTTAATTGAAATACTATTAAAGTTAGCTACAGTTGCACAAAAAATATGGAAAGAATTATAAAAGGTCACAACAATGCTTTGTTAAACAAAAAAGAAATCCAAAATGAAAAAACTACAGAAACTTGTATTTGTAAACAAAAAACAATTGTCCAATGAGTGGAAGTTGCTCATCAAAAAACTTGGTATATAAATGTCTTGTTTCCTCTAAGAATGTACCTGATAAACAATATATTGGCATAACAGAAGGTGAATGGAAAAAACGTTTTGCCAATCATAAGCAATCTTTTAAAAATAAAAAGTATTCAAAAGACACCATGCTGTCAAAATATATATGGGAATTAAAAGATAAAAATATTGATGATTTTACACTGAATTGGTCCATCCTTAAAACAGTGCCTGCATATAACAATATTTCCAAAAAATGCATACTATGTCTACAAGAAAAACTTGAAAGAATTACACATACAAACCAAGAATGTTTATTAAACAAAAAATCGGAATTGATTACTAAATGCAGGCACGAAAATAAGTTTCGCCTAAAAAACTATAAAAATAAGTGAGCTCAAATAATATTTACATTAACTCCCCTTTGAAAAAAATACATTATTTTTTAAAAAAGCTTAAGTAATCATTTCTAAAGAATTCTTTTTACAATAGTGTCAGCAAATTACATAAACGTGTGAAAAATTGCAGTTGTTAAGTCATGTGACTTTCTGTAATTTAATTTTTGGTATAAATTGAAGTTTTATTGGTTTGATCGTTCATTTCTGATAAGTCTTTGTTGATGAAACACAGTGTTAAATGAGAAAAAAATTTGCTAAGTGATTTTCTACTAATTTGTAATTGCTCTGTTCTTTTAAGAACATTGAGCACTCTTTGTAGAATACATTTTTAATTGTTTAAAGATATATATATATATATATATATATATATATATATATATATATATATATATATATATATATATATATATATATATATATATATATATATATATATATATATATATATATATATAATATATATATATAGAATTTAATGAAAATTTAATTCTAGATAATATTGTATACAACGTTTTGCCAGAAAAAGTTAAATGTTGAATCAAAGTAAATACAACGTAGCGCCAACTTAAAATACAACGTATAAAATAAAACGTTTAAAACAAAACGTTGTTTTTTAGTTGTTGGCGACGTCGCAGTTGTAACCATAATGATATAAAAACAACGGTGGTAGCTGATGTTGGGCCAACGAAACGCGCAATATTGTGCTAATGTTTTAACAACGTATTTGTGCTAGCTGGGATATATTGGGTTGTAACATAAGTTTGTAGAGTTTTTTCATAAAGATTTATTTGAACAAGAAACAATAATTATAATAATAAATCAATCAATGATATATTCTCCGTTACTGTTTATGACCTCCTCCCATCTCTCGACCAATTTGTTGATGCCGTTTCGTCAAAAAGCGGTCGGTCTGGTGTCGAAGAAGTTGTTGAGCCAGTTTTTAAGATCCTCTTCGCCATCAAAGTTTACACCCCTAATTGGTTAGATAGAGAGCGGAAAAAGTGATTGTTGGTAGGTGCAAGATCCGGAAAGAACGGTGGATGCTGAAGAACCTCCCATTCAAGCTTTTGGAGTGCTGTTTTGACAACTTGGGCAATATGGGGCCTGGCATTGTCGTGGAGCAAGATGACTTGACCTTGTCTATTGGGTTTTTCAGCCAAATAGCCTCATTTGCACGGTTTAGCTGGACAATGTAGACCTCTTTTTGTTGACAGTGGCGTTTTGTTCATTTCCTAGTGCACCATGCTTTCCCAGTCCCACCAAACACAGATCATGGCCTTTTTTGGGTGAAGATCTTGCTTGACTCTCGGCTTCGGCGTCTCTCCTGGGGCCACCCACTCCTTTCTTTGCTTAACATTGACGTACAGACACCATTTCTCATCTCCCGTGATGATTCAATACAAAAAGCGCTGTTTATGTCCATGTGTTGCTTGGTGGCGGGCGAGAGTTTGAGCAGCGATTTAAAGGCGTTTTTCTTTCTTTTCTTCGTTGAGCTCGTGAGGTACCCATGCTCCAAGATTTTGAGTAAAACCAGTTGATTGAAGTTGGCGAGAGATCAATGAACTGATGTTTGTTTTTTCAGCCAATTCACGAGTTGTTTGACAACCATCTTCCTTCAGATGCTCTTCGTCGAATTCTGTAGGTCATCCGCTTCGAGGCGTGTCTTCAAGGTCAAAGTCGCCATTTTTAAACTTTGCGAACCGTTTTTGTGCATTAGACACACCTAAGACACCGCCCCCGTACACACTGGATATGTCCCAAGCGGCTTCGGCTGCTTTTTGACCTCGATGAAAAGCAAAAATACGCAGATGTCGAAAATGCTGATTTTTTCCTCCTGGGTATTCCATTTCTGAGCCAGAAATATATATATATATATATATATATATATATATATATATATATATATATATATATATATATATATATATATATATATATATATATATATATATATATATATATATGTATGTATATATATATATATATATATATATATATATATATATATATATATATATATATATATATACATATATATATATATATATATATATATATATACATACATATATATACACACATATATATATATAGATATATATATATATATATATATATATATATATATATATATATATATATATATATATATATATATATATATATATATATATATAGTTGTGTATATATATATATATATATATATATATATATATATATATATATATATATATATATGTATATATATATATATATATATATATAGATATATATATATATATATATATATATATATATATATATATATATATATATATATATATATATATATATAGTTGTGTATATATATATATATACATATATATATATATATATATATATATATATATATATATATATATATAGTTGTGTATATATATATATATATATATATATATATATATATGTATATATATATATATATATATATATATATAGATATATATATATATATATATATATATATATATATATATATATAGTTGTGTATATATATATATATATATATATATATATATATATATATAGTTGTGTATATATATATATATATATATATATATATATATATATATATATATATATATATATATATATATATATATATATACCCAGCGGGCACGGAAACGTCCATATGACGTCGAAAGGACGTCTTTTAAGGACGGAATAAAGACGTGCTTTAAGACGTCTAAAAGACGTGAATTTAGGACGTTAAGAACTAGTGCTAAATGGAAACGCCGAATGACGTCTTTAAATAACCTAATTTAGACGTTCTTATTTTGACGTCTAAAATACGTGTTCTAACATGGCTTTACTTAGACGTAAGGTTCAAATTTATGTTTTTACAGAGCTTCTTGAGAATAAGAAAAAAATAATAAATCATTTAAATTTTTTAATAATACAATTAGGCTGAGTTTTATAAATTACAACTTTGTAAACTTCTTCTTCCACTTGTTAATTTCCAAGAATCGAATTTTCGAACAGTTGACGTCATTCACCTTCTTTTCGATCAGATGCACTCTTTAAAATATTGCCACCAGCATTTTAAAGTTTTTTTTTTTGCTGAAGGAATCAGGAAAGCAGTCTTAACCTTTGAAAAAATATTGTTAAGATAAGTATGTAAAAATAAAGGGGAAAGAAATAAATAACACACACACACATATATATAATTATTATTTTATAAACATAACATCAAGCATCAAAAAATACAGATTTCTCAACACTAAATTTATTTTTTAAAGAAATTTTTGACTGGATAGTTGTGACCAGCGTATATATTTATGTATATCAAGTATGCAATATAATTGCGGTATTAAAAATGCTCTTTTTATAGTAAAATTATACTTTCTTTGAGAGCATGCCCTTCTCAAATGCACTGCATGATGAGCCACCAACATTCAATAACTTCTATTTCTAAATTCAAAAGATAAAACTAGTTTAATTGATATGGGACAATTTAGCGTAAGTTATATTGGGCATAGGAGCAATTCATTAGTGTTACATTCAATTCAAAAATTTTGTGTAAATTATGTTTACTTGTAAAGTGAGCATTATGTATATAATTACAGATCAAAATTTTTTATGTAATTTACCCTTATAAAAAAAAACTAAACATTTAACTATAATAAAAAATATACTACTTTTTGCAACATTAGTATAGAGAAATGATTGATCACATTCGAGAAACTTGGCGATAGAATCATACTAGTAAAGCTCAAAACTATTCTCAACTTTAAACGTTTTTTATATTTCATTATTCTTAAGATAAGTAATTAAATGAATTAAAGACTATATATTACAATTTATATATATATAAATTATAATAGAAAAAATATATATTACATCTTCGCTTCCAACAAGGCTGAGAACAACCACTATAAGAATTTGGAAGTTATTGGAAGAGAAAAGATTAAGTTCGTAGAGCAAGATAACGATTGACAGATGACTTTAAGGATTGCAAATTATATGAATCAGGGAAGCAAGATGAAGGAAGCAAATTCCAAAGAACTGATGATCAAAGAAAAAAACTAGCTTTAGAGCAGTGCCAATTATAGTATTTGTAGAAAAGAGAAAAAGAAGCAACATCACGACGATGTGACAATGGTTGGAGATTGGCTACACAAGCAGGTCCAACTATGTTTACAATGCGTTTTTGTACCTTGTCTAAAAGAGAAAGGACATCAATAGAAGATCTGCCCCAGATATGGCAACAGTATTCCATACAGGGACGGATTTGAGATTTATAGAGATAGAGAATAGAATCTAGAGTAAGGAAGTGTCGAGCTCAATAAAGAGATGCAACCTTAGCAGATGCTAATTTTGCAATGGATTTGATATACGGTTTAAAAGAAAGATCAGAAGTAAAAGTTAATCATAGAAGATGAAGGGTATATGACTCATCTAGTACATTACCATTCATAAATATAGGAAGATCAAATTATTGCGATAACGATTGGCCGAAAAAAATTGAGTTATATCTGAAATAAAGTTTATCAGCCATTGTGAGCCCCATGCTGTAGCAGAGATGAGATCCTTTTCAAGTTAAGATACCCCCTCCAAGCAATCAGAGAGTGTAGGCTTCTTATCATGACAAGAATAAATAGTAATGTCGTCAGCGAACAATGCCACCTTAGATGTAATACGCTAATTTAATATTATTATTAGTAGAGTTACGTCATTTTCTAGGCTTTTCTATTTTAATGTAGTTTCTAGGCTTTTCTATACGCGAGTTTTTTTTTAAATTTTGTTTACTAACAACGCATTTTACGGGTTGCTCACTGCTAGTGTAAATTAAAAAGAGTATAGGGCCAAGGATTGAACCTTGAAAAACCCCTGAAGTTACAGGATATGTAGAAGATATATATATATATATATATATATATATATATATATATATATATATATATATATATATATATATATATATATATATATACATACATATATATATATATATATATATATATATATATATATATATATATATATATATATATATATATATATATATATATATATATATATATATATATATATATATATATATATATATATATATATATATATATATATATATATATATATATATATATATAACTAACTTAAATTTTACTAACTACATCTTTTGAAAGGAAATTCTTAAATGTTCTTTTTTTCTTGCTGAATTGACTAGGTACCTATTTTGAGTATTGAGAAGTATTAAAAAAAAAAATTTATAAAGATAAAAGGCCTAGATAGTTAAAATAACTTCCAAGATAGTTATTACAAGAAAAAATATTACTTACATTATTCTTTGTAAAACTTTAAGATTTTTCATTGACTTCATATACTTTCTTTAACTTTGTTTTGGGAAAAACGAAATTTTGAATCACAGACTTTCAAACTTTGGAGGAGCTGAATGAATTAAAGAAGTTGTTACTAATAAAAATTCATTAGGCATATTACATAAAATAAATTATATTACATTAACCATTACATAAAATGAACTATAGCCAAAACCGTTGTTCTATTTTTTTTTAAACCGAAGGCAAAAATAAAAATGAACTTTAGAGTTAAATACATTTAATCAAATAAAATTTCTTTAATTTAAAACAAAATTAGATACAAAAACTACAAACACATCAATTCTAGATTCCTAAATGCATATTTAAATAAATGCAATATGATTTTTTGAAATACAAAACAAAAATGTAACATAATATTACCAAATACAAACATGTATTTGACAAAAACATATATATCAACTGACACTTAATGTAGTTGACGCTCCTAAAAATAAAATCTTTATTAACAAGTAAATAAAATTTATGGATAAAGTAAAAAATATTCTTACAAGTGTTATTTTTTTAGCATTAGCATTTTTTATTTTTATTTTTTTTAAATTTTATGTTCAACTTTAAATTGTATCTAATTGATGTTTTCACACTATCTATTTCTAAATTTTAACTAATACTACAAATTCTACTCATTTTAACTAATAATAACTAATAGTTCTAAATTTTAACTAAATCTAATAATTTTAAATTTTAGCAAAACCCATTTTTATTTTATTTGACATATATTTTGTATTTTTACTATTAAAACTGACGCTATAAGTAAGGATTTTAAGGAGACATTTTTCTATTATTTAAAAAGATTTGGTCACGCAAGTCAATTTTTTGAAAGAAAAAATAGCAGAATTAAGGAGAAAATAACTACATTAAAAACGGAATCTTATTTTTTTCAATAAATTTTAAATAAAAACAGAAAAATTATATATATATATATATATATATATATATATATATATATATATATATATATATATATATATATATATATATATATATATATATATATATATATATATATATATATATATATATATATATATATATATATATATATATATATATATATATATATATAACCTTTGGAATTAGGGTCGGCATGCAGCAATGCCAACCTAAAAGTGTTTGAGGTCGACAAATAATGCTGACCTTGTTTCTATGTACACACAAATATGTATATTAATGTATCTATATTTCTATTGTGTGTATATTATGTATATATACACAATAGAAATATAGGTTTGCAATCAATAAAAGGACTATATAATTTTTTTAATAATAAGTATAATCCATTTACTTTATTAAAATTTCCTAGATGATAAAAAAAAAGGAGAAATTAAGGAGTGTTTCTCATCGGTTACTTAGTAAATTGCCAATAACATTCCAACACGTAATATAGTGGTTATTCATATGTTAATACAGTTATATAAGAGACAGGTGAGTACAAAATTTCCTTTAGAGTAAAGGAAATTTTCTACCCTCCTGTCTCTTATATAACTGTTATGACTGGTTTAATTTTTTCAATTAGACTTATTTTTTAGTCAAAACTTTTGAACTTCACTAATAACTAATTACTAAAGTTAAGTAATTGGTTATAAGCGAAGTTCCAAAACTTGATATAGTAATATTTCAAAAAGTTCATTAACTAATGTACTGATCCAATTATTTCAAATAGAACAATCTAAAAGTTGTTAATTAAAGATATTGAATTATATTGAATTATCAGCATTAACTCTCTGTATTATTAATAGGTTTTCCTTTTGAAAAATATGACTATGCATAAGATTCTGTGATGTCTAAGTCTTTCAAACAGTCAGAACTTGGTTCTTGATATAGTATATCAATTATTATACTTGAAATACTATATCAAGTGTAAAGTATATACTTGATATATATATATATATATATATATATATATATATATATATATATATATATATATATATATATATATATATATATATATATATATATATATATATATATATATATGTATATGTATATATATATATATATATATATATATATATATATATATATATATATATATATATATATATATATATATATATATATATATATATATATATATATATATATATATATATATATATAGTATACCATATACCCAGTTTTTAACTATTTATTTCAATATCTGTATCAATTTCAATATATGTATCAATATTAATACGATTCTCAAGTAATTAAATGTTTAAAAATATATATAAAAATTAGCAAGAACCTGTCTATAAGTCGCTTTTCATAAGGTAATTTAAAAAAAAAATATATATATATATATATATATATATATATATATATATATATATATATATATATATATATATATATATATATAAAGGTGTTCCAATTTATGATTTTAATTTTGTAATTAGTTCACAAAATAAACTTTTTTATGGAAAATTATTTTCCCTATCTGTTCATCGTTTATAGTCTATATTTGTTAATTAAATTTAATAATCTAAATAAAAAATTATTATTATAGAGCTATATAGCTAAACCATAAGTTTATATTTGATAACTATATTTATAACTAAATAGTTAAAGTTATATAATAAGTTGAAAAAATAGCGACTTTCAAACTGTTTTTTTAACCATTTTAAAACTTTTTATAAAGTCTAATTAACGTCCGATAACTTACTATTTTGGAATCCAATGTCCAAAATCTGCAAAATCTAAAATTGTACGTATTTGGACGTCCATTAGACGTTCAAACACGTAGCATTTTGGACTTAAACGAATGGACTTAAACGGTACGTTATATGGACGTCCCGTGCCCATAGGGTAATAACATTACACTATTGTATACTTGCTTGAAGTAGATGCTTTTCTCCAAAATTAAAAAAAAAAAAAAATTAAACTTGGGATCGTATTTTTTCTAAAATAAAATACATAGGGTTTAGTTATCGAAGAAGGGAAATTGTATAAAGATAGTGGCAGCATTTTTAAGTGTTTAAGATAACTTTCAGACTTAAAGTAAACTTGAGTATTTTGTTATTCTTAGACTTTGATTGGAGTCTGGGAACAGCAAAAACTCTAAAAAACCAGAAGTTGATAGTCCTAAGTTTTATAACATTACTTCTATAACTAACAATGATACGACACCCAATAAATATTTATAAAAGTTTAAAATACATATATTTTTAAAAATTAATTTTCATAATAAATGAGAGCAAAAGGTTTACAAGACTAAACAACACTTAAAAAAAATTATTTTTAACGTAACTTGCATTTATTTTTTTTTTTTAAAAAAACTGTTTTTTTATTGCTACAAAATTTTATCAATTTTTTGAATCACTTTAATCATTTATCCTATCTAGATGTGATGGATGATTTCAAGTCAGCCAGTGAATTTTATTGTTTACCATCTTAAAGCACTATACGTGACCACTTTTAGCGTACTCAATAGAAATAGAAATTGACATGGCTTGCTAGATCTTTAGAAAAGGTCTAAGGATCTAGCAAGCCATGTCAATGTTTCAATTTTACTGTTTTTGAAATAAGCTTTTTCTGTCTAAGCTGTATGATCGCTAGTATTACCTTCCTAAAATTTAAATTTTAATAAATCCAACAACAAGTGTTGCTTCACGTTGTAAAAACTCTTGAATAAAATGAATTTCTGATATATTAATAAACCCAATTGCACATCAAATCATTACACCACCAACCATTTGACGTCGTTGCTCTATTACTGGTTCCTTACGGAAATTGTAAATATCATAAATCTATATATACGGCCCGTCAAGGCAAACTCTTTCTTTGTTAAAAAATACTACTTGTTGCCACTCTTCCTATTATAATGTTAGGTGACCCTTGGCAAAAGTTATTCAATTGCTTATGTGTATTTTTGTCAAAGTGGTTTTTGTTAAAGATTTACGCAAAAAAAAAAGATTAACTCATTATAACAATTATGCATTATAGTTATTTTTAGTTATTCAAGTTATTCATAATGCAATAAGCATTATGAAAAACTCAAATAAATGTTTATAATTTAGCATTTACACATGCTTCTGCAGCAATTTAGCATGCAATTAATGAAAAATTCAAAGCTTATCTCAACAATTTTTGCCTGCCATGGTCACTTAATGTTGATGGACGTCCGAGACTTTTTTGTTCCATAAATATGAGGACTATTGGTATAGTCTCTCATCACAATTTGGCTGCGTCCAATGGCCCTTGCTATGTTACTAAAGGAATGACCCATTTTTAATAACTTAAAGAGCACTTTTTTCTTGCTTGAACTCAATGATGCAACGCGAACCATTATTAATTAATTTGCTATTTTATTCCTAATTAAAAAAAACGTTTCAAATTAAATTTTAAACAGTTCACAACAGTTTAAAGTTAAATAAATGTCTGTGATGGGTTCATAAAACAAATATTCGCAATTACCCACAAATGCAATTTGTAAATAATACAATTTTTGTTTCATTCCCTTTACTTTCATTTACAATAAAAATTAGTTTCTTATTATAATTTTATAGCAAAATTTTAAAAATATTATAGGGGTGCCTTATCTTTTTGTCGCGCAGTGTAAATTTGTATTAACCATAAACTTCAAATCTCCGTATAAAGTTTCTAAATCCCTTAAAATGAGGGTGTTTTAACACAATATATTACTAAATTTTTTTTATATTACCTATGTGTTTGTTGCTGCATTTTTTAATTGCCTCAAACCTTAATGGAGGGTATTGATGGCGAATTTTTAGATTGTCAAGTGGTTATCCATTTAAAAAAGTATTAAATTGGATAAACACCAAGGTTTTAAAAGACACTCATTTTAGCACTCTCAGGTATTCTTATAAGAAATTACAATGTTTAGCACAGGCAGAGTGCATTTTTTAAATGCTTTTTGAAATTTTTTATTTTGTTAAAGTCAAATAAAAAAGTCCTAAGAACGTTAAAAAAACTCATCGTTGTCATTGGGAAGTGTCTAATATTTGTGAGGTAGAACAGTTCTCGGTGTAACTATTTTTCTTTA